GAGAGAGAGAGAGAGAGAGAGAGAGAGAGAGAGAGAGAGAGAGAGAGAGAGAGAGAGGTGGTAACCGGGTGCCCACTGCCGCACCCACCTGCCCCAACCCGCCCAGAAGGTGATGGGGGTCCACGTATGCCCTTTTGGGTGGGCAATAGGCGTGTGCACGTAGTGGGTGGGTCTGGGACCTGGGTCATGGGCGGGTCAATTTTTGCTCAGGGTCACCTGACAAGTGAGTGACAGGGGGGGGGCATATTTTCTCTGGGTCACCCAGCCCACAGACCCAAGATCACCCCCCTTCTACAACCACGCGCCCTTTGACATCACCCTCCCAGCCCAGCCCCCCTATCTCCCCCTTGCAAAAAAAACTAAAAGGCCTTGGGTCATCCTCTGCAGTGCGACCTGAGGATTAGAGAAATGAAAACGCGGGTCTGGGTGCACTCGCTGTGGGCAGTGTTGGGGCCAAAGGAAAAACGTCGTGTTCCCTCATCGAGCTCGAAGAGCGAGGGCAATTTCTCAAATGTGGGGAACACATTGACAGCAAAAAGAAACGCTCTTGGTGGTTCAATGGTGAAGGGTGAAGGTCATTTTGTTCGTTAGATCGAACAAGGACTTGATCAACACATGAATATAGGGACATGGTTGTTTTGGTTTGCATTTACGTTTTAGGCTTTAATCCGGACCTGTTTGCATACCCGTTTTAGTGGGCTTCTTGTTGCTTAGATAGCATCGAACCCTTCACTTATTCGTATCTGATGGTATATCTTGTTGCTTGGAGAGCGGGTTGAGGTTTCCAACTCTGGTCGGGAAAGTTGCGTAGTGGGTGTCAGCTCGGGTACCGGGTCAGGATTACGACCGCGGACCTAGATTGTGGACCTAGATTGTGTACCATGAGCCATTTTTTGACAGTACTGTGGGATTCGATCCTCGAACCGACATGCTTGGAAATGTTTGGTCGCCCTTCGGTATTCCCGGACTCTAATTGGAGGTGAGAGTGGAAACTTGGACTCCAACCGTCGATTAACCGAGCTACCGGACTTTCTGAAAATTATTGACACAGTGACTGTGTTGCTTGTGTTAATAATAAGATTGTAAAGTATTCTATTTTAATTGTCATTTCGACATGAAGTATTCTTTCTGACAATGTAATGTCGTCAATTATTGGTGTAAGGGACTGACAAGAGCGGATGTGGGCGGATACGGTTGGGTGCAGGCGGGAAAAATTAGGTCTGCGATACGGGCAGGTAACGATGTTCTTACGGGTGTAGGTGGGTCCGGGTAAGGGTTTTTTTCAGGTGCCGGGCGGGTGGGGCGCGAGACTGAAATTTCAGAAAATGTTTTGAGTCGGTGGGGTCATCTTTGACGGGAAGTTAAAATTCTTGGGTCGGGTGGGCGGCACAAAAAAGAAATTGGGCAGGCTGGGTTAAAGGTGGAAAAAAAAAAAAGTCACCTCTGGTGAGAGAGAGAGAGAGAGAGAGAGAGAGAGAGAGAGAGAGAGAGAGAGCGGCGGAAAAAAAAAAAAAAGCCACCTCTGGTGAGAGAGAGAGAGAGAGAGAGAGATGCCAGTGTGGTTGTGTGTGTGATTAGGCCTGTTTGTGTGCGTGAATCGGGTAGCCAGATTGCGACGCCTGTGGGCTGGGTATTCCGCAAAGTCGTGGGGCCAGTACGGAGGAAAAAACAGGTAAAAAATAAAAAAAAATAAAAATGGGCTGAGTTCCAGATTACAAATTTGTATGCCGGCCTGACAGGGGCATAAAACAAAGAATTCAGCCGGAAAGGGCCCTCCGCTCTGACCAAATCTTTTAGGGACATTTTGGCATATATCTCAATTGACGGGCGTATATCCCAAATTATCCCTGCGTATATCCCAAATTATCCCCGCGTATATCCCAGATTATCCCTTTGTTTCTTATAGGCCCGCCTCTTTTAGGGACATTTTGGCATATATCTCAATTGACGGGCGTATATCCCAAATTATCCCTTTGTTTCTTACAGGTCCGCCTCTTCCCGTGCGCAAAAAGGTACTCGTTCATCACTGCAGAAATATCTTTCCGCTTGTTTTCTTTCTTCCTCGAAAGTTTTCCACACCTCTTTTCGTGTTTTATTTTTTTCTCACCGGAATTTGCACGCAATTTTGTGAAAACATGCTGCCCGACTGAAAGATGATTCGCAGGAGTGTCTTCCCCCCCCCCCCTCCTTTTCCACCCCCAATGTGCCCTCTGCAGAGCTTGCAGACTCCTACTTCTTCTACAACCACACCCTACCCATGTTGCGCATCCATAATATTCGGCAGCCGCAGCCAGCCCTGGGCCCGCCCGAACCCAGACCTTGACCTGCCCAGACCCAGACATATTTTCTCACCAACTGCCCCCACCTAGGCCCTTAAACCACCAGTACTCGGCCCAGCTATCGGCCGCGGTGAAAAATAGAGTTGAAAACATTTCTAGTCGGATGAATTTGGGCGCTCCTGTAGTAGCCCGTACGTTTCCAAAAATCGTCGCGCGTTAACGGGCACGACTGGTGGACAATCCCACCCGAACCCACCCAGAGATGGCATTTTTCTAACCACCCTCCCCCGCCCGTACCCGCCCACACCCACCATTGCTTACCCCACCATTGCTTTTCCAAGTTTTCAACACCCTACCCACTCGTACTCAGCCTAACCATTCCCCATTCCCACCTATACAATTGATGTCCCCGGCAATATAGAACCCTCAGCTTGATCATCCACTGGAACTCAAAGAACCTACAGTCTTCCCCCGAATGGTACGGGCATTATAACTGAATTTGGGATATCTTTCAGTCTAAATTCAGCTATAATGACCGTACGACGTACGTTGTATTCGGCGGAAAACTGTAGGTAC